ATTCAATAAAATCCTCATTGGCTTCAATCACAGCCTCCAGATGACTTCAAGATCCTCTGCAACTTTTCTGGATGGTCTCTTTGTTTAAGTTGGTGAATACTGCCATAATTCTTGCCTTCAGTTTATCTTTAGTATTTGGAGTTTTGTTGGCCTCTTGCTCAACTGCACCCTATACATAATAATCAAGGGGATTGTAATCTGGGGAGTTAGGTGGCCAGAAAAGGTGATGTGGTCGAAAAAATTGCCTGACAGCCATGACTTGTGTGGTATGGTGCAGAGCCCTGTTGCCAGACATGGGGTCTGTCAGCAGCTGCCATCTTGACCCAGGGCAGCACTACCTCCTCAAGGCACTTGATGTAGGCCTCCATGTTGAGTCTGAGGCTATCACCAATAAATTCAGGAGTTCTTTTCTTATCAGAATGATCAAAGTTAGTTTTACAAGCTGCTATACCTTCATTAGATTCATCCAAATCTTTCCAAATCTGTCCTCAAATTGACACCCAAACATTCTGAAAAGTTCATATTGGACCTTCCAGTGTGAATGCCAAGCATTACAGCAAGCCATTTCCTAATTTCTGGAAGAGCGAATTGTGTCATGGTGCTCTTTTTCTCACAGAGTGCCCAACTTACCCTACCATATTGTTCAGTCAACAAAATCAAAAACAAACAATGCACATGCATGAAATTAAAAATATAAAATAACAACCCTATATAAAACCCAAGCATAGAACAACAGATATGCACAAATGGACATATTCATATTTCAGTAATATATACATGCACACCTTAAGTTAATTAAAACATCCATAGTGAAGATGCAAGATATTAATTGTATATCCACGTGCACATCAGATACCAGTGAGTTAGTCTCCAAAGTCAAATATATTCCTTTTGATTTTTGTTTTGTACTCTTTACCAAATCAGACACCTGCTGTTTTCTCTTGCCCTTAACGAGTAGTCAAAAAGTAAGTACAAATCTAAATGCTAGAAAACATCACAGGAACCTCATTCATTCTTTCTTTGCCATTTCTCGTTGACCACATTCTTTTGTAAAATTTTTTTTTTTTTCATCACTACCTTAATGCTTACAAAATCTAAAAAAAGCCAATCTCATTTTACTTTTATTCATACATAATAAATCAAGGTGTTGAAATTCCCAGCACAGACCTTAGATGACATGTGCATAAGATGGTATTTTAAAGTCATAATAGGGTTGATACAGATGTAAATTTTTTTAATTTTTCTTCTCCATACCTAGTTGTCTAAAATGTTTATCCAGAGAAAAAGGAGCATGCTATATTTATTAAAGGTGCACAGGTTTCAGAGATAAGAGGATATTCTTTGATAAGGTTGTGGGAAGAGAATTAGAAAATCCCATGAAAAGTACATTGCTTGTCATATTCATTTTAAGAGAAATGACATTGCTTAATGGCATACATGGAGAAAAGATGAAGAGATAAAATGGCATACGAGAAACAATCAAATCACGTTACATGTTAGACTTGAAGCATGGAATATGATTGATGTCCCAAGTTGAGCAGAATAATTCAAAAATATTTAACATTTTTTTTTTTTTTTTAACAGGATTTTACTGAGTGATTAGCTTATTTCTAGTTCCATGTTTGTTTCAAAAGAAATCTCTTTTGGTGTTAGAACACAAACAGGATCAAAGAACATTTAAAAATTCCAACCTGGATTCCTATACCATTATGTTGAAAACATCTATCCACTGATGGAGGAAGTGCCATTTTTAAATAAATGGAATGGAGAAGCTAATTTGGTAAGGAAAGGGCAAAGGTTCTTTCCTTGCCTATTTCTGGTTATTGATAACCAACAAGAGAAAATAATCAAAATCAACAATGCAACATTTAAGTAATCTCTTTTTGAATTCAGATGCTCAGGGGATATCTCTTGTTCACTATGATAAAAAAATAAAAGTTTTATCTTAGAGACCATTTGTGAGGGAGTACTGAAAACCCACTTCCAAAACATTTACCAAATGTCAGGTTTCTTCTTAAAGGGTTTTTTGAGAAGGCTGATAATTTTTCAGCACATCCTTTTACCATCAGAAACAGTTTTCCTAATTCCAGATTCATATCCTAGAAATCTTGATCTTTAATACTGAAAAACAAAATTAAATACAACTACACTAAATGTCACTTTCGGAATTCTGTAAACAACAAATATTGTCATTTCCTTGCTTTCATTCCCAAAGATTTGTACCTGTGCAGATATTGTTCATCAAATCCTTTCTCTGGCATTTTATTTTTCACCTGATCAGAAATCACCAAGATATCAAACACCATTAATGGCAGTTGACAACAGATGGTTAATTATAGCAGATCAATACCAATCAGATTGCTACCTGGAAACTAGATCAAATCCAGCTGTTTTATTCCCCTATGTAAAGAATGTAGCTTAGATTGACAGACAAAAGACATTTTAATAAGAATGGAAAAAAAAAAAAAAAAAATATGAATTTTATTCTGACAACGAACTTGAAATTGAGTTGTACTCTATTTAATTTAGAAAGACAAAAAGAGAAAAAATATCCTTTACAGATTTTAGGATAAATAGTTTTCATTTTTACGTATTAATCTTTTATTTACATTATTGTCCTCATCTTTGTTGCCATATTTATTACAACGTTTTGGCAATTGTATGCTCCGGCCTTCTTCAGGTGGTTGGAATGTCGAACTGAACCCTTTATTTCGCTCACTGGGGTAGACTGTTCTAGTTCCATGTTTAATGGATGTCAGTTATCAGTTATCTCCTGTTAATTTTCCCTCTGAAAGTTCTCCACTGCCTTAGCCAGGTATTGAACCCACACTCTTTGGATTCTGTCACTGGATCTAACCAACACCTTTATCCACTGTGCCATGTGTCCTTGAGGACACATGGCACAATCTTTTATTATCCATTTATATAGACATCAAAACAAAATTCATCATTTGTATTTCTAAGACTTTCTAACTACAAGCAGCACCTCTTGTATCTAAAGTTAGTATTCTTGCTCTAAGAGTGTTATGTAGATTTATTCTCTTCTGAAACACCATTCATCATGGATATCAGCCCTCTCCTTTCCAATGAAACAATCAACCAAACATTTATGTCCTTTTTCAGGCTAATTATTTATGGAATTGTTTTGTTTTTTTTTAAATTTTATATAGAAACTAGAACAACTGATTGACAAATACTTTTTCATGCATGTGCTTTAAGCTTCACCTGCTAAGCACTGCTAAATACAGGAATTTGGATTTGTCTGAATTTCTGAGATGAGGAATGTTTTGTTATCTACATTTGGACTAATATCCTCATCTTTTTTTTTTTTTTTTTATTGTTCTTATCGCAGCATTTTGGCCACTGAGCTCTCCAACCTTATTCAGTTATCAATCTAGGTAATCTTCAGGGAATTTCAAACTGAAACCTTTATTTAATCTACAAGGATCTTGATTCATTGCCCATGTCTAGGAATATCTTTTCTTATTATTTACTACTGTCGAATTAGTGTTCGCCTTGTTTTCTATCCGGCCTAGAAATTGAACTCAATTACGATGCCACCAAATTCATGAACTACTGCCCAAGTAGTATAGACTTGGGTTCAGTAGAAACAGGGTTTGGTGTGGTTTGTTTAATGGCATATGGGTCATTTGAATGCTGAAGTTTTTTCTTATGAGCATTGGTAATTTTTTTTTCCAAATGTATTGCTGGTAATTTTTAAAGTTTTTATTTTTTTTTAACTATGAAAATGTATTGCTGGTAATATTCCATAATATATTTTTTATATTTTAACTTTAGTTTGGGGGTTTATTATTTGCCTATAGCTGGGACCCTAACAGGTCAGGGTGAATGTAGTAGAAACAGGGCATACACTAAACACTAAACATTAACAAAACAAGATATCCCTAGACCTGGAAAGTGGAATGAAAAAAAAAAGCTACTCTTGTAGATTAAATATGGGTTTAAGTAAAAGTTATTTGGATTAACAGAAACCTGAAGAAGACCAGAAGGCACAAAAGCTTAAGTTTTGGTTATAACAAAGATGAGGACATTAATCCAACTTTAAATAAACTTGGATTTTTATCAGACATTCTGCTTTAAAAAACACCTTCAAGATTATAGCAAATAATAAAATGGTTTGTATTGTGAAATTTTATAGCATATTTTTTTACAGCAATAAAAATAATTAGAATAGGCTTGACACATTTTCACTCTGTATTAAAATCCAACTTCTGTCTTGGATATTGAGCTCTTACATAATTCTTAATACATTTTGAAATTGTCTGTTTATATTTCTGAGATGAAGTATTGTAACTGTTTAAACTATTTACATTGTCCCCAAGGATACATGGCTCAGTGAATAAAAGCATTGGTTGAAGTAATCGAAAGTGACTTGATCCAAAGAGTTGGGAGTTCAAAACCTGGCCACAGCAGAGGTGAACAAAAAACTTAGAGAGCTGAGTTACTAAAGGGAAATAGCTGAAATCGAAATATACCCTGGTGGATGAAATAAAGAGTTAAATTTGAAATTCCAACCACCTGAAGAAGGACAGAGTGTACAACAGTCAAAAATTTCTGAATATGATGACAAAGATGAGGACAATGCTCCGAACAATGTAAATATTATTAAATTGATTTATAAGAATAAATGTGTGTTATTTTATGGTAAATAAAATAAAATTAAACTAAAGATTTTGGAATATTCAAACTTGACTTTCTCAGCTGATATAATTTGATACGCAGATGAATTTATAACAAGTGCGTGCACCATAAAGGCCAATACATGAAGATAATAATTTTAACCTTTTGCAAAATAATAAAGGGTCATGAGAAACAGTGAAAATCTTTTTTTAACCAACTATATTTTAATGTATCCAATATTGCAACAGAAGGGCAGGAACAGTTTTGATGATGTTTTATTTTCCAGTTTTTCTAGCAAGGTATATTGCCTAATTGATAATTGATATGCAACTTGTTAGACTCAACATATTAAAGGTTTACAGCCACATCATATTGAAATATTGGTTCCTGTATGATCACAGAAGTTAATCAACATTGAGCCTGATCAGTATGTAGATGGGTGATCGCTTGGGAATACCAGGTGCTGTAAGCTTGGATGTACAGGTGGTGTAATGAATAATGGCTTAGAATTGTTAATTGGAGAGACGAGTTCCAATTCCAGCCAGGTTTGTTATATTCACTTATGCACAAATACCCTTGAGAAAGATATCAATCTAACTCTTCTCCTCCCAGCTATGGGTTAATTAATAGTACCTGTACCACTGAAAACATTATCTAATATAAATAAATAAAATTGTATACAAAATATTTAGATTTTGACATTAAATAACCTATAAATGTGTTATATGCCTCTAGACAAAAACAGCCAACCAATCAATAAACAGGTTAAAGATATAAAATATGGTAAATTTAAATGGACTCAACACATTTCTAAGTAAATTACAAAATAGCATGCACAATAAATTATTCATTAGCTTTCTTTATGCAAGTAAAGAAAAAAACAAGCAGTCACAAATCTGAGTAGCCATGGATCGAAGGTGTGACGAGATTAACAATCAAAAATGAGTGCTGTTCACCCAACCACTGGCAACTTCCAATTCATCACCTCATACATCTGTCATATACCTGTAGTCACAACCATAGATTGATTAGAATCCATCAATGACCAAGCATCACTATTCTTATACAAATTAGCACAACAATTGCCATGCAAATTTGGCAGTGATATCATCTATTTTGCAAAACTAACTTCTCTGAAGAGCCATTCACTCTGAAGACAACTCTTATATGTGCATCAGGCAGACACACACACACACACACACACTAATCAAGGTATTTTTTCATGGTCTGGTTCTCTTCTACAAAAACAAAATCATGTAACATGAGATTAAGACTGAACAGAATAAAAAGAATCTAAGAAAAAATTAATTATAAACAACTGAAGAAATGATTTTATTGGGGTGGGGGAGGAACAAATCTATGCTAGATTCACTAACAATAAATCTGACGTGCAATGGAACTTTTCCACATGTTTACCATAACTAGTACAATTATTTCTGGGTATATTACATACTTATAATACTTAATACAATGTAATTTATATAAATAGTTGTTATATTGTAGGTATAAGCAAAAATTTTAATAGGGATAGCTGAGGGAAAAGAATATTGAATAAAAAGTAAATTTTAATATTAAAATTTTTGTACCATGAGTATGAAGCCTGAAGACATATTCAGGAAAAAATAGCAACAAGGAGGATGTGAAATCTACAGAACCAGTGATTACATCAAAAAGTTGTTTACTTAAAAAAAAAAAAAAAGAATTCTTCTACCTAAAATCAACTATAGGATTTTAATAAAATTACTACTACTTTTAACTAGAATTTACCAAGTGTCCATCGACCTGTCTGTATAAAAAGACTGTCATTTCTGGCCCAATTTGAATCACATTAGCAGCAAAGCCTTTAGGAGCATATATGGAGTGGTTTTAAACCCTATTGGGATGTAGTTAATTCCTTTATTATTATTAACATGTAGTTTAAATTAAGTAATAGTCTTTATTCATTTTGCCTTCTTTTTTCTTCTCTTCTATAATCAACTTGACTTTCTCAGCAATCGAGTAAAGGACAAAAATCTTGAGTGAGGTTAAAGCTGATTGACCAAAACCTCACTAGATAAAGAAAGCATCATCTTTTATAGAGCTCCACTAAGTCAACATGAGTGACATCTGCACTGGGCAGTAAATTTTATTTTTATCTTCAATTACATAACATGAAATGGCAATGTCATTAAATAAATTGTTCTTGGTACAAGGGAGGTAATTAAATAAAAATAAGATCCATTACTAATTCAATCTCTGTCTATCTGACTAAAGCTAAAATGTCAACAACAGGAAAAAAAGGAAATATATTAAGCTCTATGATTGAGCAGAGATTACATTGGTATGGACCTGGTACTGTGATGGAAGAACCTGCTTCAAAACCAAGTCTGACCCTGATGAATTTCATATTTTTCTATGAAACATTTTATGGAGTTTAGTAAATGTGGTGACTGGGTGTCAGCACAGATGCAAAAGAGTCCCCAAATTGTTTGTGAACATGTTAACACCAGTTACATCCAGGTTCTCATTGCTAACAGTGGGACAACTTGGCATGTCTGGATACAGGCCTCTCTGTAACAGGTCAAGATCCAGGTCTTTGTAAAATGCCTCATGCTAATAAAAGCAATGGGAAGACCAGCAGTTGGCAAGGCACGGTGTCTTGTGAAGTCAGTACCATGATCATTTTGTTTCTAAAGTTACTGTGGTTTCTGAGGCAGTGTCATTTTTGTTACCTCCTGCCTCTTTCTCCTATCTACCTATTACCCCCATAATTGGTTGGGAAAGCAATCGGCTAGGTGTTTTCCCCACTCTCAACATACTCTCTGCTTACATTACCACAGTAGAGAAACATTTTTTTTTTTTTAATTGAGTGACACTTAACAGATTTATTTAGTTAAAAGATGTTTCTTGTCTTTCTTTGTAATTCTAACTAATAATGCAATGTAATTATTTTACTCTGTCAGCTTGAAGAATCATGATGACCTACAAACTTAATTAGTAATGTTTAGTAAAACAAGTTATTTTTTCTGTAGTTTTCGTTGTCAATTTAGAATTTACATGAGTGATTTGAAATGGTAATTGTTACTAACCTGAAAATATTTAGAGACAGCAGAACACTGAATGGTTTTACAACTCCCCCCCTTCACTGACCTCTAGAAATGGATTTGGGTAGATGAAGAATGTGTAATATAATAGGTAAAGAGGTCAAGTTATTTCAACAGTCAAAATTTAACACCATTTGCCTTTAGAATGATTACTAGAATCACAAATGGTAGGCTACCATCTCAAAGGTTGCAAGTCTCAGGTTTCTGTTTGGTAGAAAACAGACCAGAAATATGCAAATTCCAGACAGATATCAGTGGTGCCTGAAGACTGGACACCCATTAGTAGTGCAAAAATAGTAACCAAATCACATCCCAATTCAACATATAGCATTCTTCAGCCAGCCAACCAAGTAACCCACCAGGCTGCATGCCAAGGTCTTGGACTCTTAACAGATGAGTTTGAAATTGTTATAGAAGAGGCTACCTCCATTTGTCTTGGCCTATTACTAAAATCAGCATTAAGAATTATCAGTTGAGGATATCACTCATAAAAGTCATCTTGAATATCCAAATCATCAGATAGTTAACGAGTTTCCTTCACATCCAGTCAATTGAACAACAATATAGCTATAATCTCAACATTCCACATCCTGATACACATCTTCCAGGAAACAACATTCTGCAAGAGATCCAGAAGGCAACAAGATAAAGATACAATATTCAGGAGCAGTGAAAGAGAGTCAATGAAGAACATATGGTCACTGACAATGCAATCATGGAATCAGTTATAAATGAACAGATAACTGCCATTATTACTCAAGGTGAAACTGTGACTGGTAAATGCTGAGAGAAGCAGGTAACACCAGCCACAGTCTCAAGTGAGACAGTTGTTAACCTCATTCCTAATGACCACACCCACTACTTTCACTGAAAGGTACCATTGGATGTAATTGAGGTTTTAGTATGCAGCATTCACCAAACAGGGCGCCACTGATTATTAAACAGTGCTGCCTCATGGTGACTAATGAGATTTGAGATCTCAAGATGTTAAAGGGATAATCAGTGACACCAATGATCACACATTTCAAGACATCAGGAAGAATGATAAGCATTATGAAGAAATCATCATGGTTTTTGCTGGTGACAAGTGACAAATCTTGCCTGTTATAGGCAGAAATAGTTGAGCTAAAATTGTCAATGCCTGGTTTCATCACGCTAAATTGTGGGAGCAAGTCAAACTCATGAAGTCAATAAAAGATATGTAAGTTGTAAGTTCAAATTAGAGGTGACAAAGGACAGGCAAACTTTGCAGATGAATTGATAGAGATTGAAGGTCAGATCTACAAGGTGCAAGAAGTAAGAGATTATAAAATTAGAGTTAAGGACCATCATCCAGTTGGATTAGCTGGAAGATGTCTGTAGTCATGCCAATGCAAGAATTGCTTCCAACACAATAGTGATGAATGATTCTGCAGTTGAGCCATATTTTGTCTAACAAACAGCCTAATAGATTAATTAGGTGTACAGAAGCAACAACACTCATATATAAATTTAGAGAAATTCATAGACAATTTCTGTTTACCTAGAAGGCCATCCATTAAACTGGTACAAATAAAAAAAAAAAAACAGGTGTCCCCATTATGTCAGGGGTACAGCTTTCATCATACCAGTGGGCACTGTAATTGAAGTCAAGAATCTCTTGGACCATGTGATTGATACAAGAGTGTTCCTGGTTCCACATGCAAGCAAATCAGTAACAATCCTACATATTCACAATGCGTTGTGTGAAAAACTGTTTCCACAGAGACAGTTCCCATCTCAAATCTGTTTTGGAAATGAAAAAAAAAAACTGTCCCAAATCAGCATCTACCTAAAAAGTGACTTCTCACATGGTTAGCTCAATAGAGCCATGAGTAGAGATGGAAATCTTGAGGGGGCTGCAAATCTTAATGGGGAAAATAAGGAGAACAACTACATCATAAGGAATGTTATCTATCCAGCCATTCTTTACCCACCAATAGAAATGTTTGTGAGACATTTTGAATGTGAGAGGTTAAATATAACTGATTATTTTAATTAAGTTTATAAGAATTAAGAAATGATATGACTAATTAGTTATCAACCATTTTTTGCCTATTTGTGTTGGTTTATATAATCAGTCATCCTTGTTTATTACAGTACAGAAATTCTGTCTCTGGTTTAAGAATCGTCTTAAATGATTCTTAAAGAGTTATCTTAAGCATAAAATGAATTTAAATAATATTCTTTTTTTTTAGATTTAGAGTAATCTAATTACTGATTATCAACCCTAATTTTTGATACAAAATACTTTATTAATATCAATGACTATATTTAAAATGGGTAAGTTTTGCTAGTTTTAACTAACAATTTAATTGAAAATAAAAATTACTTATTTTTTTATTATTTAGAATCAATGCAGGTTTTTG